ACGCTGCGGCGGTAGCGAGCAGCACGTGTCGGCCCGGCCCGGCCGGTCCATTTTGGGCGGGGAAACACACTTTGCGTGTGCGCAGGGCGCGGCGGGGCGGGCGGGCTGGCATTGTGTCCAGCAGTGGGGGCCGGTCGTTCCAACGAACGGCCCCTTCCTCAACCCCCCCGATGGTGTGGTCGCGCTGTGCCCCCCACCCCCCTCGCCCTCTCCACCGCGAGGCGTATCTCTCCCGCGTATCAATCACTGTCACTTGCACCGCAGACAGCGGGACACGTTTTGCAAAACGGGCGGCCCTTGCATACGGCGGCGCACTGCATGCGGCGGCCGCCGGCCCTACACACGAGCACGCCCCGCCGTGCCTATGGTGCTCGCGGCTGATGAACGCCCGCCCCGCCCCACCACACCACACCCCGCCCGCGTCCATGGCAGCCGCAAACGAGCCGAGTGCGGGCCGAACAATCCTGCAGGCCAACAAAAAGATGAGCAAAACGAGATCGTCGTCGATGGAAGTTTTTCGTTTCTAACCATTGAAGCAATAATAACAATGATGTAAGTAAAGAGCGCTTGACTAACACGCCCAATCGAAAACCAACACTAGAAACGCAAGTGTGTGAATGTCGCTCACCTGCAGGTGTGTGAATATCCAGTCGTACACTTAGAAAGGTAAAGGTGTGAATTTTTCCTTGAAAATTCACACGTGTACCCCCGTAAGTGTGCGAATGGATATTCACTCACCTACAGGTGAGCGACATTCACACACTTGAGTTTCCAGTGAATGTACTGCCTCATCATTTGCCTTATACACGAAACACTGGCTTATTTGGTGGTGACAGTCGAGAAATTCGCTGTGACACCTACGGATTAGTAGTCAGAGACAAGAGTTAGTTGCCACAGCCACCCCGTATTTTTGAGTTCGCTGTTAGTCTTTTTCGGACCATAATGAAGGGAGTGCGTCACACAGCCAGAGCCAATGTAATCTCATTTCGGTGCCTTATTTACGGGCGGATGTCATACTTCTTATATATTTCCCTTTGTCCATCCAAATTTCAAGATGCTAATAAAATTTCACCCCATAACAAGGCTTGTTTCCTCAATAAACTGTGCAAGACCCCGTGTGGCCTCTTCACAAATCCTCCCCGCCCGAGAGAAGTTTGCTCAACACTTCTCAAACTTTGATAATAACCCTCGCACCAGGAACTGTCCACACTGCTCACCTCCTCAGCGGCATAAAATGGGACTCGAAAAGAGGATTTCATTTCCCGCCAAAACTCTTATATAATTGCCTTGCTTGCATCTCTCTCTCTCTCTCTCTCTCTCTCTCTCTCTCTCTCTC